CTTGTTCTTCTGTGATCCTCCGCTCCCTGCTGCAAACACCATCCTCCCATGATCCTTTGCATCTTCCTGGCATTGGTTGTCACTCCTTCCCCTCCCATGATCCTTTGCTGCTGCTTGCCATTGGTTGTTTTACCATAGCATTCTGGTTTCTCCTGGCCTTGGCCAACGTCTTATGAACCCCTACTTCCTCTTGGCATTGGCCAGTCTCCCATGATCCCTTGCTTCTTCCCCTATCTCAATTCTTTGGCATTGCCCTGATACCCCAGATTCTAGGAGGGTCCATCTATAGGGGTCCAGAGCTTTCAGTATAGAAAGTGTGTGGTGCTGGTGACCCTACAAGTAGGGTTGGTGGTTTCTGGGAACAGAGGTCACAGAGCTCTTTGGTTTGGAGCATGGCAGGTGAGCGTGTGGGAGGGGCTGCTGGAGATGGTGATGGGGTGGGGGGGGTCACTCAGATGTAGAGGGGAAAGGTCAAATACTGTTGTGGGTCAATGGACCTACATTAGGTGTCACTGACCAGAGCAGGGGTCGGAGGTCATAGTTGGGTTGGAACACCAGATAAGAGTCAGGGGTCAGAGGTCACTTGGTAGAGTTTGAGGTCCCATGAGTGTCTTTTTCTTTGGGAATGCCTGGGGGGTGGGGGGGAATCAGAGGTCACAGGGTAGTGATGATTGTGGGGTTCAGGAAGGGCTCAGCTCTCAAGTGGAGGTGAGTGTCCTGGCTCTTGGGGTATGGAGATGTTACTAGAGGTCAAAGGGCGGAGGTCAGGCAAGCACCATTGTCCATCAAGGCACTGGGCAGCACTGGAGATCACAAGGCAGGGGTCAAAGGGTGTCTGAGAAGGAGGTAGGTCCTGGGTACTGGGATGGCTCCAGAGAGCAGGCTGCAGGGGGCACTGAGATGACCTCGGTGCTTAGATTTCAGGGTCCACAGGTCAGGCCATGAGGCACTGCAGATCAAAGGTCAGAGCTCGGCGGGGATGGGTGGGAACTGATTTCACATCGGGGGTCAGAGGTCAAGGCAGCAGGACCTCTAGGTGGGTACGGATGTGATGCCCATGGTCAGAGGCCAAATGAGTGGTGCTGCCCACAGGCGTCTAATGGGGTTGAAGGTCAGAGGCCAGAGGTCCAGCACCCTGGGGTCAGAAGTCAGTGGCCAGCAGCACCTTTCAGCAGACACGTGATACCAGAGGTCCAGCACACTGAGCTCATACCAAGGGTCAGAGGTCAGAAGTGAGGCCAGTGGCCCTGGTTGAGCCAGAAGTCAAAGGCAAAGTGAATTGATGCCACTGGAGGTTAAAGGTCCGCAGGGTCAGGAGGGCGCCAGTGCCCCCAGCAGGCTGGTGAAGGCCAGGGCACGGCGCGCCAGCTCAGCCACACGCTGGCGGAGCAGGCGGGCTGCAGAGGCGGAGGGGTAGCTCAGGGCAGCCCCCTTGACGGCCAGCACAGCCTCGCGTAGCGCCTGGCACAGCGCCCCAGCTGCAGCACCCACGTGGGCTCGCACTGGCGCAGAGGAGGCCAGGCGGGCCAGCGTGTCTCCCACGAACACCAGCTTGTGCGCTGTGACGATGACTCGTTTGCCATGTGGCACAAAGGTGCCGGGCGGCTCCTGGGCCTCGGCACTGGTCAGCAGGGCTGCCATAGCCGCTTGTAGCGCTGTGTAGTGGCCCTGGCACTGCCCTGCATAGAACTGCAGCAGCTGCGCATCCTCGGGACCAGGGCGCGGCACCTCCTCCTGCAGGGGTGGGAAGGGGATCAGGCCCACTCGCATGCGACTCAGATGTCTGGGAGGTCCCTCACCCACTCAGCTGGGAGTGGGACCCAGGTGTCCAGGAGGTTACCATGCATCTTGCCCACAAATGGGACCCAGGTGTCTGGGGAGGGCATCTCCTACCTCCTCCTTCGGTAGTGGGGGGGTCTCAGGTTCGATCCCAGGTCCCAGCAAGTCCTTGGGGGTGGGCTGGTCCATATTCAGCGGCTGGGATCTGTCTGTACCCTGCTGGGATGAGAAACGGGATGGAAAATCCTGGTCAGAGGTTGGGGACATGGACTGCAAGAATGAGGGGTCACACTGGGACAGGGTAAAGGTCATAGGACAGGGCAAAAGTTAGTGTAGGTCATAGGGCAAAGGTAGTAGGGCAGACCACAAAGCTGGGTTAGGGGCCAGAGGTCAGGTTGGCAGTCGGGCTCAGAGATTGCAGGCCCAAATTGCTGTGATGGTTAAAGGTCAGGAGACATGAGCTCAGGTTGGTATAAGGGTCAGAGGTCATGAAGCCAGGTCTAGATTGGCATGAGGGTCAAAAGTAAGGGGACACCGGCCCAGGTTGGTGTGAGGGGCAGAGGTGAGCGGTCATGTAACCATGTCCACGTTGTTCAGAGGTTAAAAGGCCAGATGTGATAGGCATGGGGTCATTAACCCAGGCCTAAGTTGGCTTGAGGGTCAGAGGCCAAGGGTCACAACCTCAGATTGGTGCGAGGGTCAGAAGCCAAGGGCCACACACCCAGGCCAAGATTGACATGAGGAGCGAAGGTCAGAGGTCAATGCCCCAAGATGGTGCGCTGGTTAGAGGTCAAGGGTCACAGCCCCAAGTTGGCATGAGGGTCCTGGGTCCCAGGCTCAGCTTGGAGCGGAGGTCAGAAGACAGGAGTCACAGCCCCGAGCCGGCATGGTGGGGGTCTGAGGTCATGACCCCAGGTGGGAGGTTGCAGGCCGTGGCCCCACTCACCTTGAGGTGCACGTAGTCGTACTCCTCGGGCAGCCGGATGCCCTCGTACTCGTTGGGCCCATCGCCCTCAGCCAGTCCTGGGGGGGCCAGCGGTGCAGCTGGGGCCGGGGGTGGAGGCAGGGGCCGGGCCTGGATGCTGCCCGAGCGCCGCGGGGCGCCAGGCGGGGGCAGGGCGGGCAGGGGCCGACGTGACAGGCTCTCAGCTGAGGGCAGTCGTGGCCGCCCCCCCTCGCCTAGCCCCAGCGCCCCCCGCGCCCGCTCTAGGCCT